AATTATGGCAGTAGTAATGGCAGTTCATGACCTTTGGATCAAACTGGACTTTCTGCTGAATTATCTCCCTGCAGCTCTGGGAGAGGACTAAAAACCCCTGCTCTGATGGTTTAGACCTAGTGTGTCATTGTTGGATTCTGACTATAAGCTTGCTATTCATCCCTGACATTTCAAGAGATATTTCACTATTTTGAGGATAGGGTTATATGAAACAAATAAGCATCCAAGACACAGTGGGTGTTGGTCACCTCTGTTTCTTTACTGAGAAACTGCAGGTAGAAACAGAATACTACTCAACAGTTTTCTACTCTCCCACATACCTTAGTTTATTCAGAGACTCTGACCCAAACATTCATCTCAGTCAAAATGTACACACGACTGAGAAATTTCTCAACACATGACTTTGACACCAGGAAGCTCATTTGTTTTTGCAGTCATGGCAAATGAAACACACACAGACACAGCCGTGCACTGATCAGCTTTTGGGTCTGTGGGTTTCAAAGAGACAAAAACACAACCAACTGAAAACTATGAGCCTGTGCCAATAATCTGCTGCATACTGCAGAAACACCTTTAAACAACGGGGTTCACAGAGGAGAAAGCCTTAAACTTCTGAGCTAACTGGAGAGCAGGATTGATCCCAGGTTACCTGGTGGTTCAGGTGTGTGAACTGTGAACTGATGTCCACAAACAGAGAAAACTCCTGTCTGTCAGGACAGAGACTTGGTACCAAAAGCACCTCTGATCTTTGAGAGGGAAGAAAAATGCATTTACACCATCTCTACTTCACTTTACCTCTCCTCTCAGATAAAGTGAAAGCCATGAATGCATCATAAGTTTACTTCTGTGAATGCTAGAGGAGTAGCAAAGGATCACATTTTTTGTTGTTCAAATTACTAACAATTTCTGCCCCCCTCCCCCTCCCCTCTTACTCATTCTCTCTTTCTCACACCCACCATCGAGCTCTGACCCTGTAACTTACCGAACATGATCTAAGTGATTATCCAGCAGAAGTACTTGGCACATGTTAATGATGTCATCATTTGGTCCCAGCTGGGAGGTTGAGGTCAGACGAGAAATGATAAAGGGCTGTTAACCAAACAGCCAAGTTGTGATGTTAACCCTAAACTGACTGTAAAATCATGATTACGGGGGTTTTACAGGAAGTCAGTCTGTGGAGATTAAATGTAGCCGTGTTCGTGTCCAAGAGTGTGGTTGGGAAAAGGAGGATGATCACAGTGTAAGCAAAGATCAGAGGAGAAATGAGACTATTTGCAGAACGGATCAGTGATTGGGGTTTTGGTGGCTGCTGATTATGGCTGTGTTGTTGTTGAACCTTTGGTTTACAGTCACACCTGTTTGATTAAGTTCAAGTAGAGTCACTTAAGTAGTTATGAGGATGTGTTTACTGAACGAGGTAATGCAAAGAAGCCGATATCATAGTGTAGACTGTCAGCTCCACTCTGGGTGTGTGTGTGTGTGTGTGTGTGTGTGTGTGTGTGTGTGTGTGTGTGTGTGTGTGTGTGTGTGTGTGTGTGTGTGTGTGCGTGCGTATGTGTGTGCATACCCTGCAAAGTTCATGTCAGTCAATGCCTGAATTTTACTGCAGCATGGACAGAAATGTGGCTGTTTTGCCTTCTATTAGGTTTGCATGTAAACTTGTCTAAGAAATAATTTCACTATTTGAGTGTGTATGTATTTACCTTTAAATGTGTGGATAAGAAAACAGATACCACCCACCCATGGATATTACCAATCTCCAGCTCCACAGAGCATGTCATGGCTCTTGTGCTGGTCCTGTGACTGAATTCTATCAATTACATGATGATGATTTACATCCTTCACAATCAGAAAACTACGTAGAAAAATTTTAGGAAAAAGAGGGAACATGCTTTTCCTTTTCTCCAGGCTATTTCAGGGAGCTTTCCAAACTCCAGCCCTGTCTCTGTAAAGTTGTTTTCATTGCTTCCTCTCTCTAACCCTCTAACAGCTATAAGCTTAAATGTAATTATAGTTTTCAGGAGTTTAGCTGTTCTGGTATCATGCAGCCTGGGAGTGGGAAAGTCCCTGAATAAGCTGATGACTGCTGTTCATCAGCTGTTTGTCTGAGTCAGCACATAATCCTCTCTGCTGCTTCAGATGATTGACACTTCAGCACCCGCCCTCAAAACCCCACACCTCACATACACTTTACCAGGTGGAACATGTAGGTGGGTTTTACCTTCTGTGTGTGTGTGTGTGTACAGAGATGACCCCTTCAGCTGCATTGTTTCTAACCTCTCTAATTAGCCCTTGCTGCCCTGTCATCACAAGCTGCTGTTATCCCTCAGCAGCTGTTTTACACCCCCTCACAGGTGTCCTAATAGAGGGCAAATATCATAGCAACAGTTTGAGAAGAAGTTTGAGGTGAAGCACAGCACAATATTTTACAAGAGGTATGATCAGAACCTCTCAGCTCTTTGTCATCCCTGCACACTTTTAATGCCAAGATCACTCTCTATCAGACTCCCATCAGCCTCTGCAGAGATAAATTACCATCAATCTAAAAATTTCAAAACACTATCCTGCTCATGTGTCTTACATTAAGAGAAATGTTTCCACTAAAGGTAGATTTAGACAAAGCGAACAGGACATGTATGTCTTCATTCAGCTCTCCTTCTCAGAACTTTGACTCTGATACACCTTCAGACAGAACTGAAGTCAAATGCCACAGTTTTTACCACTGCTGTTATAACCACAGTCACTTACAGTTTAAGTGACTTTGTAGAAATAGGCTTTAGAGAGATGCTCTAAACAGCTCTGCTGCCTGTGCACAGTTTGCAGGACAGGTAGCTTCTCAGGCTGCTCTCACATCTGTGCCCACTGACTTTCATTGTTTCCACACTTTCAAGACCAGAGACACTGGACACTAATGTTTTTACCTCAGGGCCAAAAGGCATACAGGGACATGTGGATTGATTTGACTTGATCTTATATGACATGTGTGATCAGGTGGTCTCTTGTGCCCCCAGGTATTTAACACTGCAGGGCTAAAATCAAGTATGACTGCTACCAGGTAAATGTCCACTTATTTCCCTGTAAGAATATTGTAAATTTGCTAAAAAAAAAATTCAACTGAGATACACTAAGTGACTCAAAAGATAACTGTTAATATGAAATCATTAATTGTGGCTGTCATGATAGCATAAAAGATAATGGTTTCAAGTAATTGTCCTTTATCCATGACCTTCCATTTTTCTTCATCATGTTGTAATCTTTGTATTAAAACCACCCCAAACCCTGAGAAGCAGCAGGCAGTGAGGGATCCAGCTGCTAACACATCAGTGGGTGACTAACCTGGCATGTAGCAGGCGGTGGCAGCTGGTAGTGATTCAGCAACAAAGAGCATTGAAAAAAAAAAAAAAATTAGTGCTTTTGAAACCACATGGACCAAATGTGTTTAACTGTGTTCTGGGCAATGCACTGTCCTCTGGCCAAATGGCTTCAAGATTATAAGCATCACAGCACAATGCTCTGTGCACCTAAAGAGAGAGTTTGGTGGTCTAGTTCAGGAACTCAACAAAGGCTTGATTACCGGACAAAGTTTCACAAAGTCACTTGACGTAACTTGATAGGAAGTGAGAGATGCAGGAACAGTGCTGTAAATGGACTGTGTCTCTTCATTGATGACCTCCAGGTTGGCACATTGTTCTACTATATATATATATATATATATATATATACAGTATATATATATATATATATATGTATGTATAATAGTAAAATCAAGTCAATCAATAGTAAAATACTATATAATAGTAAAATCAAGCAACAGAACAAACAATAAAAACAGTCAGCAGATAAAATCCGGATAAGCTTTCAGAAAAGGGAAGGTTTTGAGTCCTTTTTTAAAAGCATCCACCAACTGTGAAGCCCTGAGGTGGTCGGGGAGGGCATTCCACAGATGGGGAGCAGAAGCCTCGAAGGCCCTGTCGCTTCTGGCTGAGGCGTGCAGACAGTGATCGGTGTGAAGGAGGATTTTGAATTCGATGCGGAGGTGAAGGGGGAGCTAGTGCAGAGTGCGAAGGATGGGGGTGATGTGCTAATGTTTACGCACTCTCATCAGGACCTGGGCGTCGCTGTTTTGGACATTTTGGAGCCTTTGTAAGCTCTTGCCTGGGATCCCGATGAAGAGCGTGTTATAGTAGTCTAGCCTGGAGGAGACAAAGGCATGGACGAGCCTCTCTGCAGCAGGACAAGAGAGAGATGGCCGGAGTTTGGCAATATTATGGAGGTGAAAGAAGGAAGTCTTGCAGATATGGTTGATGTGATCATCATCGGTCATTGGAATGGCTTGCGGAGTCCGGTCCATTAAAGGGGCGCAGGACACTGTGATCCACTCCGGGTTTTCTGTCCATCCGGCCATACGCGCTCCTGCCTTTTGCGACTAGAGTAGCGGTGTTCTGATGACGCCATTGTTGTGCGGCCGTGCGACCAGCCGACCAGAGGGATGTGATGGCTCGGTGACAGTTACCATGATCACTATGTTTGGACAGAACAAACCGGCGACCTGATCCTCTGTGGATGTAGCGGAGTCAGTGAGGTAGTTGGAGTTGACCAGAAGAAGTGCTGATGTGATGGGAGCTCCGAAGCGGTGCAGAGATGACGGTGGAGTAGCCTGGAGTGTCGGTGTTAGCCATTAGCCAGGATCCGAGCGACGATGGATGGCAGCCGCACAGCCCAAGATGGTCCAGAGCCTCCACAGAGATGGCAGCCCACTTGCAGACATCCGTTCGAGCGCAGATGACATGCAGAAGCCGGGGAGATTGGCTAGACGGAGAGAGGTCGATATAACAGGTGCTAGCTGCAGTCTAGCAGCTAGCACTGTGTCAGCGCCAGGCTTGCTAGTCACCACACAGACGTCTCCGTGGGGGGGGGGTTGTGCAATACCAGAGACACGATCCAGGGAAAAATCAAGAAACCAGAGTTAGGTGGCGCAACAACCTAGCTGTGGAGGGTGGAATTTGTGGGGTTTAGAGTCAACAGGTATGGAGAAGCAGCGAACAGTCAACACCAGCGTCCTCTCCAGCCTGAATGGAGCCTAAAAAAGACACACTCCAAACAATTTGGCTGTCCACTAGGTGATGTAAAGTGGATGTTATATGTTTGAAAACCGCCAAAATGAGACAGATCAAACAGAGAGAAAAAAGGGGGACCTTCCCTTTACCCTCACTGACACTGTCGTTCCTCCTGCTCCTGTCACAATTTCTTTGACATCCACCTGAAGCTGTTTGCCCCAACATGCAAACACCTGTGACCTGTGTGAACCTGCAGATGCCTGAAGCTGCAGACCGAGGACTGGCTTTCTCCAGGGACTCACACTGAGGAGGTGCCTTTTTAGACAACAACATTTCATCATTCAGAAATACTGCATACATTTTACGATACGATACTTTACAATACTGAAATCATTCTATGTATCCTACTTTATACCAACATTAATTATATAATCCCTCCAAATCTATGGGTGTATGTTTTGGTACATTTATTCTTTTCTGCACATGAGACAATAACTTTTTTCAGGTTGGAGAAAAACTCAATCCAAAAAGACAATCTCACCTATCTCTCCATGCTTCAATGTGAGGACATGTGAGCATGAAAATCGGTCTCTAGGACTTTAATTTAGTGCGTCAAAAACTGTCTGTTTAAGAGACTGTTTTAAAGACCTGCCCTTACTCTGGCCTAAACTGGGCTTTTAAAAATGGTGTTAACATATTGGTCCAATTCCTGTAGTCATGTAGGTCTAATTCCTTGTAGTCACAATGGCATTCTTAAATAGTGCAGTTGGAGATCGATATTGACTTTCATAAAAAACACTGCAATCAGACTAAAACTGTCTATGGAGCATGTTCTGGTCATGCTCCATATCTAGCACACTGAGCGAAGTTAAACAGTGGAAAAGTGTCGGTGTTACTGGTGTTGACAATATGTTTTTTTGTTGTTAAGAAAATGAAACATCAATATTGTGCAAACAATAAGCATACAGTAATATAGTATAGAATTTATAGTAGTGAACCTTGCTGGTTGCCACATCTCATAAAGCAGTAGAGAAATGAAGAGGAAGCAGCAGCTAGTAGTGAGGTAGCTGTTGCACCCCTCTAAGATGATCAGACACTATGAAAAACTGACATATTTATTATGAATCCAAAAACGATGTCCTCTTCAGCTAACTAATAAATCAAATGTTTTAAACTTACAATTTTTTTCTTAAAATCCTATCATTCTGATCTAATGTACATGTAGAATCCTATCATTCTGAGCTAATGTACAACCTGCAGACACTAGCTGATACTTTAAAATGTAAGTACATTTTGACAACGCAGGAAATACAACAAGCTGAACACAAGGCAGAAAAAAAACATCAAAATAAGAGCATGATGAATAATTGTTGAATGAGGGAATGTTCCCTCCAAAGAAGTTTCAGTCACAGAGCTGGTGATGTGGATAAATCAATAATTTGAATGTTAATAGAAATAGTAAGTGAACTGTGTTTATTGGTACAGTTTATGAAGTGATGTGCTGCTCCAATCCTTTCTTGCCTTTCCTCATTCTGACTGAATATATAGTTTATTTCAAGTTTTCAATAAATATTGTGAATATATTTTAATATTTTATGGCCATGATAATTTGACACTGTGACAGCTCTAAGAGGGAGTAGCTATAACCATAGTTGCTCTTTACTGCGTATGTAGTGAGTGTGGCTTCAAAAAAGATACTTCAGACTGTGACGCCTGGTAGAAATAACTGATAAACAAATAAAAGCTTTGAGTGTAGGTTATACACCTTATTTCATGATGCATTGCACATACACCTACTTGAAATAACAGCAGTTTTATTTGTGTGCCTTTAAAGATCTCAAGCTGTGTCCATCATCCAGTGAAGAGAGACGGCTGAAGTAATGCTGCTCCCTCCAGTCACTACTTAGTTCAACCAAAAGCTGAACAAACAAAAGATGGATGAATGATTATAAATGTTTCAATTTCCAAAAGAAGTCGAAATCCAACGAAAAAAGACTTACAGATGAAGATAAAGCAACAAACCCTCAGTAAAGATGATGTTTGGCCGAGGTCAGAAATACACCTGCAATAACTGTGTACTGAACCAAATACACTCTCCCAGATAGGCTCTTTATTGTTTCCCTTTTTCAGCAGCTTTTTAAGTAATATCACTTCCCAGGAGCTGCAGACGTATGAGACTTCGTGTTTGGACAAGAGAGGACCGAAGGGTTGTTGTAACAACAGCAGGACAAAACATGACATCTTATTGTCTACAGTCAACATACCAGAGGAAAATAACCATTGGAGACCGATCTTTAAAAGTTTTTTAGTAATGACACAAACTGGAATCAACTTTATTGTGTCTGTGGATTAAAGCTACTGTGAGGAGTTCTTTAATGGGTCATTAAACAGACTGAATTTTACAGTGGTGTCCATAAAGTTGAACAAGACCAGCAGCAACAAGACTGTCAAACACTAAACAGTCATTTTAAAAATCAGTAACCACCGTTAGGGGGTCTTTGCTGCACACTTATCAGCCATTTTTCAGGCTTTAGTCCATAGGGGCGCCAAAATCACATTTAACTAAAACTTTCTGACAAGAGCTTTTAATAACATGTTTAAAAACTTTGGGTAAAAGTGCTTTTAAATACATTCATGACCTGTGACCCAGCTGGCCTTTTTCCTAATATAAAGGGCTGATTTGCTCATCTAAATGGACATTACCGTCTATCAATAAAATACAAGAATACTGTAAATCTAAATGTTTGCCTGACGATTTTGGCAGTCTTTTCGATTTCTTCAGAATGAGTGATAGTTTCTTTCAGCTGAATGACACTGTACTTTCTCATCTACACTGTGCATGTGCTTGTGGCATATCAGCCCCTTTAAAATCTTAAATGAGATCTAAACTCATGAAGGTATTTCAGACGTATTTAAGTATTTATGAAGAATTTAGTTTGATTACACATAAATAGAAAATAGCTTCAGTGAATTGACCTTATTTTGTTGCTCTTAATGGTCCTTGTTATGGCTTTACGTAAGCAGCAGAGACCAGGGCCTGATCCTTAACTTCAGTGATGTTATCAAACACACATGTGCCGCCCAGGTTTGATGGGTTCGCCATGCCTTTCGAGCCCCGGGGGGAGATAAAGAAAGGAAAACCACACAGAAAGCAGAGGGATAGTGGACACTTAAACAAAGATACATGCAGCAAGATTGTCACCTAACTTCTTTTTTTTTTTTTTTTACCCTGCATGGTTTGCTTTGCTTCATGGGAATTATCACCATGACCTGACTCCACCACTGGCCAATCAGATTGCATGGCTGAAACAACCCACTGTATAATTGCATTATATATTATGACTGGTGGAGGATCAGTCCTCGCCTGGCCAGGCCTAACTATCCACCTCCTCGCCTTCTCTCTTCATGCTCTGTGGGCAGACTTGTAGATAGCCCAGATAGAGGGATATGACATTTATTCAGCCCTTGGTATCAGGCCATTATAAATAGAATTATGTCACAGACAACTGTGCACTATCTGATTCTGAGTAATGGTAAAAAATCCCCTCCCACGTATGCTGATGCTGTTTTTGCAGCTTGTGTTGGGAGAGACACAGCAGACAGGCCAAGTTCAGAGCTTGAGAAAAGGGAGTAGGCAAGGTGAGAAGCTGATGTTTGAGAAAAATATCAGAAGACATGCACTAATGTTTCAGTTTTGCATAGTGGAAGTGCCCTGCTCCATGTTTAGGTTCAGGGAATACTCTTATGGTCAGGGTGGAACTGAAAGTTCACTGCAAACATTGTAGAGTGGTGAATAGTCATCAATTTAACACAGGGTCAGTGATCTCCTGCAGCATAGTAATTTTCTAAGAATAGAGGAAAAACATTTAGATTAGAAACCAGATCACTGGGCAGGTTTACTGAGCCAGCTTACTGTGCCTAGGGAGTGGTTTCATCAGGACCTTAAGCATTCTCAAAGGTCTGCAACTACAGCGCTGTATAAAAATAAACCTGTTCAATGTAATTTTGCATTTGACTTCATTAGTGTGATCCTAGTATTCCTATTAAGATCCCTCCTGCACAGTGTTTTAAAGACAGAGGTCACACAAAGCTGAAAACCACAGGTTAGATCTTTTGAGGTGGGGGAGGTGAGCTTTGCTACACCTGTAACTGCATCTAATGATGATGTCATCAATATGAGGCCAAGTAATCATAGGTCATAACCCCAGAGTTGCAAAAACGTGAAACAAACCTAGAACAGGTTCAACTCACCTTATTAGTCGGGACAACCCTTACCAAAAAGAAGTATGTTGCAGTGTACTTCAAGTATTCTGTGTTTAATCTAAGTGTGCTCTCAGTTTACTTTTTATGCACTTTTCAGAGATATACTTAACAAAGTTAATGTTACTTATACTTGGTTTGTACTGAGAAGTACTCTCAAAGTCTAAATATATTTAATTATACTTATACATCAACTTTTGATCAAGATATACTTAAGTATGTGTTTGTGCCTAAGGTTTAAGTAAACTTGGTCAGTGAATACTTCCATGTATCATATAGTCTTATAGAATATACTCTTAAAAACATAAGCGTTACAAGCCAGGAATAGAAATATGTACTATTATTGAAATAATAGCATACCAAAACAGTAACTTTTATAAACTAATAAGTGGACTAGAAGTTAATTACTAGTAAACTAATAGTATACGAAAAAGTTAATTTCAAGTATGCTTCAAGTGTACTTTTATAAACTTAAATTGGGCCAATATAGTCCCAAGAAGTTTACTTGTAAGTACACTGATAGTATATTTGTATCAGTGTACTTTGGGAGGTATACTAAAAGGAATTTCAGTATACTTCGTCAAATGTACTTATACTTATTTTTTGTAGGGGAAATGTGATTTTGTAGTCTGGCCAACTAGTGTGATCAGCTGACTATTTTGTTTAGTTTTGTTTGATGCTTTGTTTGGAATTTTAATGACAGATTCTGTTGATGATCAACCCCCCCACCCCCCATACTCTGACAGTGTCGATAGAGGGAGTGAAAGGTGAAACATAAAGTAAGTAATCCATGCTGGAGTATAGTTTGATCGAGGATATTGGTGTACAGGAATACATCTTTCAAAAAAAAAAATTACATACAATAGATATGACACAACACAACACAATAAGATGCAAGATACAACCCAAAAAGACATAATATAATATGATATCATACATGATGGGATGCAACATGAGGCGAAACAACACAATCCAGCACATTACAATGCCATAAGACTCAGTTTATTGACCTCTTTGGTAAATTTGTCTTGAACTCAAGAGTTGCACTTGCTCAAATGCATCCTCATCAGATAAAACAAATGGACAAGTGAACGTTAAAAAATACAAAATTCCCCATGCAAACACAGAAAACAAACCAAGGAGACCACAAACACACAAGCAACTAAATAAGAAAAAGAAAAGAAAAAATACGAACAATATCATGACATAATTGAACAAGCCTTAAAGTCTCAAAATCTTGAATGAAGTTTCATATTAGAGTCTCAATGCTCACCCAATTGTTACAGCTCACAGACATGCATGCACGCACGCACACACACACACACACACGCACGCACGCACGCACGCACGCACACACACACACACACACACACACACACACACACACACACACACACACACACACACACACTTGGCAGTTTGCTCTTTTGCAATTTGAACTTTGCATGTCTGTCTCGGGGGTTTAGCATGTGCTGTGTTGGCCATCTCTGCTCTCGACACACTTGAAGAACTGAAGTGTTTCCTCCTGTGTTTTGTGTCCTCAGTGTGTGGGATCAGTGACATCTACATGTCTGACAATCAATCAATCAATCAATCAAACTTTATTTATATAGCACCTTTCATGCTTTTAAGCTGCAACACAAGGTGCTTTACAAAAAGGTAAAAACAAACAACGGTAAAAAACACACAACAGGCAATTAAATAGGCATAAAATCCGTCCCTTCCCACCCACAGCAGCACATACAGGCATGCACAGCAGCCCCCCCACACACACACACATACACGACAAGGTTTGAAAATCATTATCTGGTCCCGGATTTGTTTTATCTCATTGATTTATACTATTTTATCTACTTGGCTTATGCTGAATGATCATTTAAGGGCAGGGGGAGCGCCTTCTGATTTCCTCATCTTAAAAGGGTGAAAATAAGAGAAATGACAGCATGTTTAAGCTTTCATTTCAAGAAACCATGATTCATAATACTCAAAAGCCAGGAGTAAGTCAATAACAGTCCTGTGATAAATAACCCTGTCCTGGGTAAGAGGATCTGAGGGGGAATTTTCCTAGGAGAGCTGGATTGAAGCAAATGATCAGAGGAGGACGTCAGCCAACAGAGGGCTGAGGAAGAGGATGGTTATGATGATGCAACTAAATCTCTGTTTTTAAGTCTTTGCTCAGAGACTTGGCCTAATCAACAATCAGTCTCAGACTAGTCTGAGTAAACAGGCCCACAAGACAATATTTGTCCTTTAACTGCAGATATCAATAAAATAACAGAGTTAACATCCTCCTGACCTCAGTGCTGACCAGAGGATAGCCCACTCACTTCTGCATAACACACACACGCACAAACATGGATAAAACAGGGATGTAGTGATAAAGCCAAAGTTAGTTAACAGGAACTATAAATCCTAAATATTTCTCTCATCCTCTGTTTTAAGCCAGCTAACTAAACTGTCAGACCACTGGGAAAAAAACAAAACAACAACAACAACAACAAAAAAAAACATGATTCTGGAGTGTGCATGGCACATACTCCGAGTCTGAGGACAGTGAGTTATCCCAGGACATGCCAGGTTCAAGACATCACTGTGTTTTGTCTCCGCTCTGTCTGAACATCCTGAACCCACATATCTGCATGAAGCAGAAAACTTCACAGAAAAGCTGAAAATGTATCTAAACTGTGTTACATGAATAAAAACGATTAAGACTCAATAACTCGACTAACCTGTTTCCCATGTTTGTGAGGGTGTGGTATCATGGCTTTTCTCTGGCTAGGATAAGGATGTAATATGACACAAGAAAGATAAGATAAAGTAAGATGTATTTTTTGCTCCTCTGAATCAGGGCATGTCTGACCCTTTTTGTTGGTTAAGCAGCACAAAATCTGTTCAATAAGTGAGATACAGGATAGAAGGAGAATGAAGCTGATAACATGAACCACACCAGTCAGAGTGTAAGCTCTCATCCCATTTAACAGACAGGTGCACCTGCAGACAGGCATATTACCATGGCAGATTTGAACCTTTCTACTTATAATCATCACACCGTTATGCTTGCACACTGAACTCTACAACAGCATCATTTTGGTGTAGTCCCACATGCACATACACAGACTCACACATTGTAGGTAATTGATGTACATCTGCTGACACAAAGCTGACACTCTCCTTGAAGGTATTGTGTTTAACATTGTTTGGTTGAGTGACAGTCAGTGATCATTTCTGTCCATCTAAAATATTCTTCTTGGGATACAACTGAACAGGACAGAAAAGTATCAGAGGAACAAAGGTTCCTTCTGTTCATATTTCAGTAAAAGTTGACCAGTCTGATGATTCATAATTGAGCAGAGGTCTGTGAGTGGACATCTGCTTATTTTCAGAGGCTGCAGGTCAAAAACTCAATTCCTTCCACTTTGAATGTCACTTCTTTTACCGTTTTAAACTCGTGCTCACTCATGTGTTGTTATAGTAAGGAAAATATTTATGTTTTCCAACACAGAGTGAGCCAGTAGGACGGTGAGGCCAGCAACAAGAAAACAGGACGTCTGTTTTATGTTTTACACCTAGACACATTTCTTTTACATGTTACTTTGACTGAAAAACTGAATCATAAGTGGACAAATGCCATAAACACAAACTTATTTTAGGCCCATTTTTCATCACAGCACAGTCACAATTACTGTGTTGATACCTCCTTTAGAGGAAGATTGATGAAAACGATGAACCATATTCGATCAATGACAAAGTAACAAAAGAAACCTCCCTAACAGCAGTGTTTGTTTGGTCAATATTGGGTTACAGAGTATTTCTGGGATCTATCATGATCCTCTCATTCAGGCGGGTCACATGTCTCCTGAGTCTTAGACACTTCAGTCTCTGATCTCTTGCTCTTACGAAAGTTTTTTTTTTAATTATTTATTCTCTCATCCAGCAGAGTCCTAGTCCAAAGTGGCTGCACACTGCAGTGGGAGATGAACTGATTATGTATCAAGGAAGACCTGATAATTCCAGCTCACACTCAAGCAAATCCAGGGTCTGTCCGTCTGAAATCAACAGAGTTATTATTTTCAGTCATACACTCATTCACAGATATTTGACATTTTATGTTTCTTAGTAGAAATTACACACTGTGAAGCTTGAAAAAAATTAAAAATAAAAAAATATCTTCAGAGTGTCCATCACTGAGTGTCTTCCATCCATCTGAAGGCTCAATTCCATCAATTGAGCCTTCAGATCTAAAACCTGCTCCTGTCACTATGTGCTCCTGATGGCTGAGTTGACCGCAGTCTTGGCCCTGCTGTCTCATTATTTCTGAATGGCAGAGCCAACTCTAGGCTGGAGCCACAGAGGAGGAACAATTAAAGGCCTGCAGAGGACCAGAAGTGGAGGCGAAAATTTGCTTTGGGCCGAACTTTACAGCCACAGAGGAAACGGCTCTTGTAGCTACAATCCTCTGACCAAGAAAAACAATCCATCCATCATAATTACTAGTTCTTTGGTATTTCTTTTCATGATTTTGCATGGTTTTGATAGCAAGGACAGACTGATTAGAGTGAGTGAGCTGACCAAAACGACATCACACAGTGCCACAGTTACTTTGATGTAACTGTATCATCAGTGAGAGGGTCTGAAACTATGGACAAACTCAAAGGTTTACATTAGGTCACAGCTTTGGATCAGTTCAACCTCATCATTGAGAAGTTTTCAACACACTTAATACAACAATACCAATGAGCTGTATCAAAGCCAAGACCAGATTCAGCATGTCTCATCCAGGACTAATTTCCAGCCTCTGCCTTAAAGCTCCTGTGAGAAGCATACACAGAAATGACAAGGGGGACAGGGAGGATGGGGGGCAGACCTCCCCAATCCTGGAAAATTAGAGAAATGCATTGTCTGCAGGTAGGCTGCACGTTACAGAAAGTATTCATCATCCTGTTGACTAGGAGACAAAAGAGAGTGAAAATTAAAACTTTAGACAGAGACTGTCTCTGTTTGTTTCTGTGTCCTCTGACACTGTAATATAAGATCACAGAGAGATTCAAACACACTGAATTAGTAAATCCCTCATGAGTCTTCACAGTGGTGTACATAAGGGTTCAACTAATTTAAAAAAAGCAAATCAAATCAAACACTCCCTCTCTTCAACCCTCCACTGCTGTGTGGCTCTCAGTAAATCTGCTCACTCTTCAATCCACAGAGAACATTTACATTCCCCAAAGCTGACTCTCAGTTTGGGGTTTAACATGTTTTTTACTGACAACAAAAACTGGAATCTGCTTGTCCTTCAGGGACGTGTGTGTGTCTGTATGTGTCATAGGCTGCTGTTTGAGAGGAACCTTGATGGGACCCTCGGAGAAGCTGGAGTCCCTGAAGAGTGGTGTGGCTGAGATTCAACATTTCCAAAATCCCACGGAGGTCAGAGGGCTGAGCCCACAGGAAAACACTGAGTCTGCACTGTCAGTGTAACACTGCACTTCACCTGATGGGAATTGGGAAGAATAAACACCAGTTTATGAGCTACCTTCATCAGAATGATCCTAACTGTGAATGAAAATGTTTTATCTGGAAATAATGTAATCAAAGTATTCCACCAAGGAGCCCTATGTCAGATTTGATCATAACAACATTGACAGATCATATTATAGTCAGCCTCTCCAACAACCTCTGAAAGCTAACCTGACAGCAACCATGCACAACACAACCGGGCCAGAGTTTACTCTAAAGCTATTCTAACCTGTGGTCCCTGGGCAGGATGGTAGCTCATGTTTGATTGAACGCGCATGACTATTCTGGACAGTTCAAAGCAGTTTTTAAGCAATAAAAAGCTTCTTTTTAGGTGATGATACACCTGTGTGGGTCACGCACCTTTAAAAACAATGTCGTCAGAATTTTAACACTGTTATCTCTACTGCTCATGTTTTTATCCTCATAGTGCTCAGAAACATAAAGATGCTTTCACCAGCTCTGCAGCCCTGCCTCCATTGCAGGAAAGGATCTATCATTAAAACAGTCAGATTGTTTATCCCACTAACTTATCGTACTACCGAAAAAACTAATGTCTTTGCCTTTGCGATCAACAAGCAGAAATACAATGTACCACAACTGCTTTCTGCGGATTCAGTTGGATGACATGACATGGACCAATCAGGTTGTGTATGCATGTGCAAATGCGTGGTTGCTATTTCAACCTGATATTATCTTAAATAAAACATGCTTTATCACACACCAAATCTGGATTTTATGAAACCTGAACCCTAGAGCTGAATAAAAGCTGTATCTGACATTGAGCTGTCCATGTTAAAACAGACCGTGGTCCCCATCATCAGTGCCTGCACTGTTGGTCAGACTGAGAGGTCTCTAAAGAATAGTGGTTGTTTTATAAGAACATGTCCAAGTGGTTCAGCTAAGCATGAGCTCATCCTGCAGATCCCAGGGTCTGGGAGTAGATGGTTAGTGACATGCTGGATGTGCTTAGATTGGCTTACTTAGAATCTGTGACAGCACTTATGTACATGTGTGGTCCTGTTTTCATACTGAAAGAAACATGTGATCCGAGGAAAATCTGTTTTCTACAGATGCCAAGTACCCAGAGAGGCTGGCCTGAACATTTCTGTTTAATGTGACAGCAGATCACAGTTAGGACAAGCTGTCGTTCAACGTGTAGATTAAATCCTCACTTAACTCTGATGATCTAAAACCTTCATTATTACATGACGGTTTAGCATGAAGGTTACATGACCTGTAACACCAATGCCTGCTTCAGACTAGAATCCTATAGGCTGGGTGACCACTGTGGTGTGTGACAGCTCCCTGACATTCACAGAGGCTGTGTGTTGACTGAGTAACAGCTGAATGAGCTGCTGTCCGCTTCATGTCTCCGAGAAGATGGACCCAAAATAAGGCTGTAAATGATTTTTCATTCTGATATCATGGATTTATGAACGCCATGAGAATCAATATTCATTATACATAACTCAAAAATCAACAATCACTCTTCAGTCAGTTCATTTACATGTTATTCTAAAAATCTATAGCACTAGACTGAGTGAAACTGGACTCACGTTAAAATGCATTTGAACACATCAGTCTGACTGAAATCACACTAAATTGAAATTGAACTAGTTGATTGATATTTTCTTCAAAGTATTCAACACACTTTAGCTAAATCCAGGCCAAAGAGGTTATTTACCAAAGAGGTAAATAAAAAAAAAAAAGATTGAGAAAATAAAACATGGAACTGAAATATGAATTTTTTTTTTCAACCTAAATAGAGTTTTGATTCAGCTCTGGAATCATTTTGATCAAATCATTTTTTTTTTCATTTTTCACTCTATATATGGATATATTTTTAAAATTTTAGGTGTTATTTTTTAGTTGCAGGTTGAATGTTTTCAGTTTAGGATCTTTACTTTTCCCATCACCTCTTTTTTTTAGGTTTGAGATTGTTTCTTTTTTTCCACATTCAGATTGTATTTTTTCAGCATCAAACTTTTGGCCTTGTTCTGGGGGCATGGCATCGACTGAGAAGGGCATGGGATTGTGAGTGACAGCATAGCAAAGAAAGCTCAGGGCCTTTTCTAATTATGTTGCCTTCAGGAAAAGTGGGTACTTTGAAAGATATGACTCAACACTTTCTGTGCACAGTTTTCACCTGATAGCTGTAAATAAGGTAATGCTGAGGACACAGTTCACTTTTACAGACTGTTTTGGACAACTCTTTGCAATTACAAATATATAAAAGCTGATAAATATGCCAGATTTTTAAGTTTAAAGCCCATACTTCGAGAAACAATGTTTCCTGTTTCTACATAAGACTGTGAATGCAGCACAGTATCACAACATGGACTACAATGGCATCCTCCTCATATGGATTGGGACAACCTGCATGTGTGCAGGTAAGAAATGCTGTTTTTAGAAAAGGAATAATGGAAAATTATCCCAAATATCTTGATTCTGGTAACTTTTGAAACATAGGGACATTCAGAAAGACGTTTTTAGGTGTCAATGCAGTAAGTAGGCAAAAAGTTAGCATGTACTAACTTTACACTATTAGCTGTTGTTAATGTTGTTAAAGTCTTAAAGCTCAAACTTCACACCCCAGTTGTCATTGTTAACATTTGTGTTTTCACTACGTTGTTGACTATAATTCGACAGTGGTCTTAGTTTGACTACGGCAAAAATTCAAAGCTTATATCTTTGCAAAAACTTTTCTGTTTAGCTTTACTAAAAGTATCAAAATAATTAACTTTTCAGTTTTACAGACCTCTAGAGATTCTTGTCTGGTGCAGTTATTTTAAAAAGTAAAGTGACTAAGGTTACTGTGATCCAAATCAGATTTCAGAAATTTACAAGTAAAAAAGTATTTGAGAGCATAATGGCTATTCATGCACATGCTTGTGTTTCCTCTGCTGTATGTAGCACTGATCCATGATGGCGGCATGATTGATGCTCAGAGTTCAAGTCAAACAATATTTTCCTCTGTGCCGTATGTGTGCATGGTGAAGATGTGGTTTAGGAGGGAGATATATATCCCTGGCAGTCCCAGCACTTCCTACCAATGCCAAGACCTTACAAGCACATAAAACAAATGCTCCCTCACTGGCCTCAGCACGGTGAGTCAGCAGGGAATATCACAGAGACAGTGAAGAGTTTAAATTATCACTGAGGAAAAGGAGGAAGGGGAGCTGGAAAGATTATGAGAGGGGTGGAGTTTCACTATAAAACATATATCATATACCTGCCAGCTTTAATGCTGCAGCATGTTGGATAAATCTGCACTCTGAGGGTGTTTGTGATAGTACTTCAGAGTCAGATCCACACGTCAGTCAGCAGGATCACATGTGTGATGATGCCAAAACCCCGTTTTTTGTTCGTTTGTTTGTTTTTGTTTGTTTTTCTTCTCAATGTTTTTATCTCATAAATACTCAAAGGGAAATTTATTAACACAGCAACAAAAAAGTTGGGGAACTGTAGCAAGATAAACAGCCTGTACAGACAACTGTCAGATTAGATTGTTCTTAACTGCTATTAACAAGCACAAATATATGCTTTTCTGTAATATTACTTATATTTAAGTGCATTGATTTAGTTGAAGGCAGCTTGTTTGCCCCGATGGTAGTTATGTTAATTGCCTTATAACTCACAAAGGTTCAAGTTGCTCCACTGTGTTGTTGGCTTCGAGGGGATGCATATTATTGGTAGAAAACCACCCAAAAGTGGATTTTTCATAATAGGGGACCTTTAATTAAGGTAGAGGCAGCAGCTTCTTCCCCCAACCCCTCTCTCTCTCTCAGTGAGAGACAGTGGACTGGAGCCTCAACGGATAGAGAAGCGGCAGCAACAATACACACACAACAGCTATTACAAAGAAATGGGTACGGTAAATAACTGTGGTGCTTTTTGTGTGTGTGTTTTTTTGTTTTTATTTTTTACAACCCCTGACAGGAATTTAATATTGTATTAAACACGCACACACACACACTCTTGGCAGTTTACTCTGGTAATTTCAGATAGCTCAGGAGTTTTGGTGGACGTGAATAGGAGCTGTGTGAATCTGTGCTCGGTTACTGTTTTCCCCGATATATGTGACGTAATGGCAGTGGAGGCCGTTATTTGAGGGCACTGCGGGCGGAGCCCCGCCTAAGCTGCATGAGCCAGCGTGAGCAGAAAGAGATGTCTATTGTCTTCCTGAAAATTATCAAAATAAGGAAATCATGCTATTATATTAATCATTCCATTTAATGTGTATTTCAGTCCGTTAGCGATCTCTCCACCCAGCATCGGTGCAGAATCAGAACATCTGTTGTCTCACTCATGTTCAGATCACAGTTCTGCATTAAAAAGTTAGCTTATCAAAGCCAAATAAAAAAACCTTAAGGGGCGCCAGGGATCAGCGCCCAAACGCCCCTAGTTTGAATGACATAAGCACGTTCATAACCAGATTGGTCACAAACGGACACAAAGCTACAATATACGTCTGACATAGCTAGCTGCTCTACTGAACACTGTGGTTTCCATCAAGCAGGTCCTGTTTGAGAGGTGAAAATTTCGAGAAAAAAATTGAGATTTTTTTTCCCCTAATTTTTGAGAAAAAAAGTCAAAAATTTCGAGAAAAAACTCAGAACTCTATAGACAAGGCGGAAGTGCCGCACGGATGCACTGAGGAGCATGCCGTGAAGCCATGGCTGTGACAGGTAAATAGATAAGTTTAAGTTGAATTATGTGATATTTAAGCAATATGAGACGAGTAAGAGTGGGGTTCGTAATGGACTTTGCCGCGGTGTTATCCCGGCCGTAGCCATTAGCTCAGCTTAGCTGTGTGACGTAAACCAGGTAACTGGGCCACAGCAACGTAACGTTTGTAAAATGTATTTTTGGGTCTGTATCATTGGACACGCCTTTTCTGCCATGTGAGGTACAGCACGTTTGATTAGGTATTCCGCCGACATCGTGCCGGTGTCCTGACAGGATTGGCTACTTCGGCGTGACACCGGTGTTTGTGCTGTCATGAGAGGGAAGATGCATGATCATAGTTAGTTGTGCACTCCCTGCCATGTATGCTCCAAAGAGGAGTCCCAGAGCATGAGATCAAACACTTGGAAGAGGACAAGGTAAGCATTTAGAAGAGAAATGTCAGGATTGTTTTTCTGGACATGAATGTGAACGACCTAGATGGATTTTTTGGGGGCCGATACTGTTTTTTTCCATCAGTTTTATGTTCATCAGTTTTTTTCCCCCTCCTTTTTCGCTAGTTTTACCTTTTTTCACTAGGTAAATTTTCACAACTTCTTAAAATCGTCCAGCCCTATTACACAGGCTACACACTGACTTCTTGAAGTTGTGTTGTCAAAATGTCATTTTTCTTTCACACATGCGCACGCTCTCTCTCTCTCACACACATCATATAGATACGCAGGTCACACAGCTTTGTTGATGTGCCTTTGTTATTGTAAGAGCAAAACAACTAACATGATTTTGGTGATTTTACAGATTGAAGAAGATGTCATAACCCTGATGCAAGATGACGACCTTGCAAAATATCTTTACTCCTTTGGGGATCGATTGGCCCTTAAGAATTTTTGTAGAAACGGGACTGATCTTCAGAAGCACAAATGGGACTATTTGAAAAGCTTAGGGCCAAGCAAAAAGAGAAAAAAGCTTAGGAAAACAAAGAAAAAGATGTAGAACCAGCTGATACATCAGCACCTTCTTCAAACAAGAGATGGAAAGCAAGCCATCGAAAAATTGAAATTGGGTGGTTGCACTGTGAGGGAGGACAAATGAAACAGATCTGAGCCAAACAGGGAAGCGGGACGAGAACATTAACTATTGCAGTAGAATGTCGAATGGCCGAGGTCCTTCAAAAAGGAAAGAAGCTCTTCTTCCCAGATGGAATGTCACCAAAAGGACATGAATCTGAGTTCAACTTCGAATTGAGGGACTATAAACAAAACCCTGTGCAAGAGGATGTTACCGTTGGATTTATCTATGACACATTGTGCATGGCTCGCTTGCGATTTTATGTTGCTACTACTGCTAAAGAGTTAAAGGATGATAGTACCACAGATGGGAAGAAGTCAAAACGCATTGTAGTAACAATTGAGGATGAGGATAAGGAAGTGACCTTTGGTCCAGGTGGTCACATTGATGGTGATGATGATGACACAGAGCCCTTGGATTTTGTGTTTGACCTCCAGCTGCATCCACCCATAAACATTGATTCATCATCACAGTCTTCTTTCCCCGTAGTTCTTGTCATGGAAGCGCAACCTGAACAGCTGCTCTCCACATCGCCTGTATCCCATGATGCGTCTTCAGCACAACCACCTGCCACCACATCACAAGCCAATGCTGCCATAATAATAAACATACACCATGGTAACTGCCTTAATGAGTTGATTCAAGAGTTCATGGATCCTACAGTGCTCACACAGCCATTGATTTTTAGAAGAATCCTTCCAGATAACAGTGTTGAAAAGGGGATTGGTGACTGGGTTGTCCGAGATGTTTTCTGTGCTTTTTGGCAAGAGTTTTATGATAGCTGTACTGTTGGAACAACAGTCAAAGTTCCATTCATTAGGCATGACTTTAACTGTGAGACCTGGAAGGCCATTGCCAGAATCTTGCTTTCAGGTTTTCAAACCTGTCAGTATTTGCTTGTAAAATTAGCTCTTCCTCTGATGGAGGACCTCTTTCATGAATCTGTGTGCAGTGACATCCTGGAAAGCTTCCTGCACTTTGTCAGTTCTCCGGACAATGCCATCCTCAAAACAGCATTTGAGGATTTCTCAAAGGTGGATTACAATGACCTCATGGATGTGCTGGACGCATATGAGTGCAGGAAGATGGTCAACGCTCACACACGTCCACAGCTCTTGGAGGAAATCGCCCATAAAGAACTAATTCAAAAACCAAGATACGTTATGGACTGCTGGAAGGAGGTGATCAAGGGAAAGATCAGCATGGATGACCTGCTGGAACGCTAGGAGGCACTCAAACCTACTCCCAGGAAAGTCCAAGCCCTCCTGGAATTCGAAGAGGGTTCCACCTCAAAGCAGCGAGAGGTGGAAAACCACCTGAAACGGTACCAAAGAGAATAAGATGAGGATCGTCTCGGTAAATTTCTTCGTTTTACCACTGGTAGCAATGTAATAATTTATAGTAAAATCCAGGTTGTCTTTACGGAAATGTCACACTTCTCCTGAAGACCCATTGGCCACACATGTGAATGTGTGCTGGAGGTGTCAGATAACTACGACAACTTCAGGTCAGATTTCAGGTCCGAATTCAATGCTGTTTTAGACAGCAACATCTGGGTAATGGACATTGTTTAGGCTTCTACTGTTTGCAGAATTCCCTGGAGTGTCCAAGGCCACCTGGAATTTGAAGAGGTCTCCACCTCAAAGCAGTGAGAGGTGGAAAACCACCTGAGATTTAAAAGGGATGATGATGACTGTCTTGGAAAAATCTGTGTTTTACCACTGGTAGCAATGTAATAAAAAATCCTCATCCTCTTCCATAAGAATCAGTCAAGATATCTGGATATCTGGATAATGCATATTGTTAAGGCTTTTGATGTTTGCAGAATGTTTATCCTGTTACATGCATTATTGCTCAGGGATGGTGAAAAACTTAAAGTTTTTTTATTTCTCAATATAGTATAAGCTATGTTCATTGAACTCTAGGTCTGTGCATTTCAGCATGACTGTTTTTCATGTTTTGCCTTGTCACGTGGATTTCTCATGGATGTTTTTTTTTCTGTGTACTTCAAGTACTCTATGTAGTAAAATCCAGGCTGTCTTTACAGAAATGTCACACTCCTCCAGAAGACCCATTAGCCACAGTCTCGTGTCAGATAGTTACAGTAACTTACCAGACCTCCGCTGATTGTTTTCTTTTTCTTCTTTCTTTGATACGTTTATAGTTGGAGCTATGTGTTCATTGAACTCGTGTTATGTTTACAGTATGAATGTGCAAAAAAAGCCTGCTTTTGATGTTTTGTTCAGACATATTGCACTTGAAATAAACAAATAAATAAATGAAAATTTTGTTTCAACTTAATGTTTTTCCAAAAACAATTCATAATAAATAAACAGAGTTTACATTTTTACTTTATTAAAATGGTTATAGATGAAACAGTCATGGCACATTTGAAGCAGTTTACAGCAGTCATGTAAGTATCTCAACAGTTTAAAACACACAGCAGGAAACAACAGAAAACATAGCAGCCAAGGCACAGAACATGGCGGTGATGGCCATGGCAGCAAGGACAGCAGAGGAGATATGCGCAGCAGCTGAGGCAGTGCTGATTGGCAGAAGGTGGTGATGGGCACAGCAGGGTGGGTGAAATCCTCAAAGATTATTTTTTATCTCCTCTCGTAACAGCATGTGAAGTTCAGCAGCTTCAAATGCATCTTTAGGAGTGTTCCATCCATTTTCCTGCATCAGCAAAACTGATAGATCATAGACAGTTTCATCGCAAGGCAATTGACCCTTGGGTGTGCACTCCTCCTTACAAAGATCAACCTCCTCTTGATCAAACAACTTCAGTCTGTCCTCCCGACCATAAATCTGCGGGGCTGTGTAGAGTAGGACTGGCCAACCTCCAGACTCCCCCCTGGATGGAGCTGGTCTGATTATATGTGCATTCCATGTCTGTACAACCTCGTCCAGCTCTTTCTGTAAGACAATATAAATAGAAATGAAATTAAAATTACATGTGAAACACAACAGATCTGTTCAGTATCTTAATTAGGTCTACTACAGTACATGATAATCTGATATCGTTGATATACATTTACTAATCATTTTTACAGTGGGCCTACTACACTGTGATGTAGAGGGAAATACAGTACAGTAGTATAGTACTGTAACAGTCTGAAGTTCTGTGATTGTGTAGTTATAGTGTGTGTAGTCATAGGCACACACAGTCACTCGCCGCCATGACTCAAAATATAACTGTTATAACTCACTATATCAACTGAGAACGTTGTCAAATTAACTTGTAAACGTCTTCTATCTGTTGTAAACATACCAACATCTCCCCATTACACAGGGAGAATTTATATCAAGAAGAGTGATGTTTGCATGTTGCATTTACAGTATGTGCAGGAGATACATAAGTTAAGGTGGACAATGGTTATGTGCAGCTATGTAAAAATAAGTTATAGGAGCAAATGTAGGTAGGGCAATGAAAGTAGAAATGAAAAGGGTGAATGTAAATTAGTATGTTAATATTAATGTTAATATGTTAATAAAGGATGGTTATTACTGTTTTATCTGCTGTCAAACTGATTTTAAATTGTTTTATTGATTAAAAAAATTACATTTTATTAATTTATTTCTTATGTCTTATTCACTTAATTGAATTGAAACAGTTTCTTCTATTTTCTTCTGTAAAGACGATGCTGTAAGGATCCTCTGTAAGGATGATGCAAACAACAACTACCTGAACTCGTTCGAGGAAGCAGAATTGCATTAAACTCTTATCCAAGGAATCACCAGAGAAGTGGCCGGCATCTTGCAATAATTTGAAAAGGTTCATCCAAAACTGCACGCTCTGCTTGCGAAGAATACCCCACCAAGATTCAATGCACTGATTTGCAGTGCTGCGCCCATACAGGAAGCTTTTGTCGCCGGCAAATGCATCTGTGTGTTCTCTTCGTAGAAAGATTTGCATGCCCTCAACATGGCCATTCTCAGTCCCCCCGTCTGCTCGCAGCCGCTCTGGATAGCCCCCCACACGCTCAATGCACTGGATGTAAAAATAGGCAATGACTTTAGGGCCATTGTTGGTGGTATATGCCTCCATCCACAAGACATAGCAACTGTAGCCATCAATGCATCCATTAATACACATCCCGAATGGCTTCAGTTTGTCATAGGAATCCATATGCCAAAGTGCGTTGTATACGGGTTGTATACTCACGCCGCCTCAGACGACGTGCCCGTCTCAGTTCCACTCCTTGTGGATCAAGTGCCTTGAGGATCTGTCTCATGGTTTCTTGTGACACCACTAACCCCCTCTGAAGTGCTCGGGTGTGCAGCCAACGATACCCCTGCATCTGGCCATTCCCACGTAGGTCCTCCTGCACGAAGGCTATCACGTTGTCAATGTTACTCTGATTTTTCCTCCTAAAAAGGCTAAGTTTGCGACACCGCCTCTTCAAAGTCCGGACAGAAATCACAATATTGTGATTCTGTGCCAAGACTCCAAGGATCTCTTTGTTGTTTAAGCCAATCCCGAAATAGCATCTAATTAAGTCGTCCATTTCAGCAGCCAAAAACCAAAACACGCTATGTCTCCGTCAGCTCAAGTGACTACTTTCCGGTACTTCTGTGTACGGAAGATCTGTGACCTTTTTCTTGAAAATGTCGACTTTTTTTCCTCAAAAGGAAAAAAAATCTCCTACATTTTTTTCTCGAAATTTTCGACTTTTTTCTAAAAAATTAAGGGAAAAAATCTCCAGTTTTTTTCTCGAAATTTTCAACTTTTTTTTCTTGAAATTTTCAACTTTTTTCTCAAAAATTAAGGGAAAAAAATCTCTTCAAGTGGCCCTAATACGCTTCCATAAAAAAGAAATGATAAAGCTGGCAAAATAAAATTTCAGCTACTGAAACAGTTAATCAACAAAATCTGTTTGTAGAAAAGTAGAGTATGTAAAGATTAAAACCTAATATAAACCATAAATTTATTATTATGAGACACTACATAAAAGCCAGACTAAAAAGAAAGCTAACAGACAATGTTCATGCCACAATGTTAGAAATCAATAAATTTTAAGGCAGGGTGAACACATCCCAGAAAAGTCCTGGAAAATGATTTCTAGGAAAGAGTGGGAACCCTGTATTTGTTCACCCAGTTTCAATTCAGTTCCATTGAAATATCAAATGTAATAAAACTGTTCTGTATTTAAAGCAAAAGTTTGTGTTGTTTTCCTTTGGCTGATCATATTGATATGCAAGCCTTGTTTGTTATAAATGTGGGTCTGCTCTTTACTATTTTTCTGCTGTTGTTGTTGTGTGCTCCTTTGCTGTGGCCTAACCTGTTGACATGCAGGTGAATGTACACGAGTACGCCACTGTCAGTTTCTATATCATAGGATAACATTGAATGTAGGTAGGCTGTGTGTTGGCTATAATGCCCTGTCAATATTTTGAAATACAGTTTCCACACCCCATATGTCTTTGTAGTTCAAGATCACATGTTTCCCTAATTATTTTCTTTGAATGCACCAGAATGCTTCATTTACATGTGAACACAAAAAAAAATGTCCCAGGGGAGGATACCCCAAAACCCCCCTACAGGGCTCTGTTTTCCAAACCTTCAGCCACACCTACTATTTTTCTCACCAGCTGCCACTGTGTAGTGGTGGATTTCAAGCAGGATTTCAAATCCTGCTTTTCAATTCAACATTAATATTCAAATTCAGTTTTCAGTGGCACAAATCTCAGCCCATACCTCCAAAGTCTGAGGACTGAAGAGAGTCAGTCAAATGCACCAAACTAAACTTTGAGAAAAAGCAGTGAGAGCCATAAAAGTGAGTTCATCCTCTAAAACTGAACTCTGGACAGCAGAATATTTGCATGGATCAGATGTCTGGAGATGTGAACTGAAACGCATGTAAGCACATCTGAACATATTGTCCAGATATTTTGTACTAAAGTATCTCCTGTCTCATAAATGCAGGAAAGGTTCAAGTTGCAACACTGTTTGCTAAAACTTTACTGATATTTAAGACAGAGTAAGTGTTTCTGTGCCTTAAAGGTCACCAAAAAAAAAAAAATTAAGCTAACAATCCAACCAAAGCCTAATGTTCTTATCTGCTGTTCGAAGTCCCCAACGGGTCAAGCAGAAGAAAACATGACAATTAAAGTTCACTGTGAGAGTTTAGATTCAGTTAGTAGATGGTTGATAAGTCTTAAAGTCACACACAAATACTCAAACACATTAAATCTGAGAGATTAGCCTCTTTAACTGCAGCGACAGTCACAGACCAACACTCTATTTGGGCTCATTTGTCACTGTAGTTGCTCCCTTCAGGCCTCCACATTGTTATGGACGTGTTGGGGCCACATAAAGTTTGAATTAGACCAGGCGCCCAGCTGAAACCACCAGGGTAAAATTATGAATGAGGGCCAGCTTTCTCTCAAAGGCTCTTTTAGGGGATTAGATGACGTTTAAAGTTATTGGAGGACTAATAAGCATGATTAAAATGGCTGATTATTGTGCAAAATGAAGGTGTGTTTTATGGCGCTCACTTTAAGATGTGGGGGTGGGTTTGGGTAAAGGGTGGTCTGTGGGGTCTTTGGGTAGTTTAAGAGGCTCACTGGGGGTCCCTCACACTGGCTTTTATACATTATGATGCTTTATTAACACTCGATCTGTGGAAACTGGCAGTGAACTGTTAGTGAACTTTTACAGTCTGTATCAGAACAATGTGTGTGAGTGGAGGCCGGTCCTTCAGCAGCTTTTTGTAGTTTTTAGAGGCATGTTTTCTTAAAGTAACCCCCCAGGCGGTGAAAGGAGAGGCTTTTAAGAGTTAGGTTGGCTGGAGTATCATATGACGCCCAAGGGTGCCAAAATTAAACAGGGACACTTCCAGACTATGAACCAGCCTCTGCAGAGGTCGAAGGGGGATTCCTCCACAGAGAAGACAGAACAGAGAGATTTTCTCCGCTTGGACCTTTTTACATAGTAGGTTTTCATGTTAGTTTGATTAAAAGCAGTGTCAGATGCTAAACACAGCCAAAGATGTGAAATTTTGTTCCTGGTAACCATCAAAAACATCTGCTGAAGTAAATACAGGAGGAGCAAACCCAGAGAGGTTTGCTGGTGGCTCTTTATAATAAAGTAAATTACAAAAAACAGGCTAGAAAACACTGCTGTTTACTAATTAGGCTGGTAGCCGTGGTAACAGTGACATTATGTCATTATTAGCAGGTGCCTTATCTGGTCGGCAGTTTTATGGGAAAGTTTAAATTTGGGCTTCCTGGGCTCCTGTCTACACAGTGTAGGCCAGCAAGTAACTGCTAGTTATGGGCTGCTGTCAGTGTTTACGAGGTGGTCGGAGGACGGGAGGCAGGCTGCTGTTTACTCTGAGGGGTCAAAGGAAGGGGTCAGAGGGAGGGCGAGGCTAACCAGAGTGGAGCTCACCAAACTAGTGGAAATGATGATGACTGGTTTGAGTTGTTTGTTACCTTCTCCTCACTGGTCATGGCCTATACATCCAGACTGCATACTGTCCTACTGTTCACACTGCAGCTGACCTGATTGCAGACACACCAGTTAACCAGCTACTGAGGCAGGTCAGTTATAGGCATGTTGGAATGATTAACATTACAGTGGCATCAACTCTCACAAAACCAACATCAACACCTCTAAATAAAAACATTGTCAATGACGGCATATCAAATCTACAATTTTAGTATTTGTTCTGTTAGGGTGTGAAAAATAATGCAGTTTGATACTGCTTTTAGATTGTTTGCATGGCAGAAATATCTGCCACAAAAAAACATTCAACCCAAAACAGATTTCAACACACAAATCATTAGGCTTTGAAAGGTTACGGTAAAATATAGGGCTACATTCAGTGGTCAAAAGAGCTGAGCCAAAAGAGGAAATAGCTGTACAGCACATCACTACTCTACATTTGACTTTCTTTTTTATCTTAACTCCA